GGGCCTGCGGCAGCGTGCGCTTACTCACGGCGTGACCCTGGGCAGCAACAGCTTCACTGCGCCTCGGTTTCTTTATTTCTGAACAGAAATAGTGCTGGTGCCTGCCTCCCGGACACTGGGCATCAGCCGAGGCGCTGGTCACTCAGGCCCACAACAGAAGGCCCGACTGGCGGGTGCTCTGGACACACCCTGCACACACGCGTCACCTGAAAATTCTGATGAGGGGTCACTGTGACCCCCTCCATGACCTTCAGAAACTGAAACCCGTAGCTGGGACTCATGTGGAGGAAGCTTTAGAAATCAGTATGTGAGCACGTGTGAGTGTGTGTATATGTGTGTATATGTGAGTGTGGTGTGTGTCCGATGTGTTCATGAGTGTGTGTACATGAGTGTGAGTGTGTGTGGTGTGTGTGTATATCTATATATGTGAGTGTGTATGTGAGAGTGTATGTGAGAGTGTATGTGTATATGTGAGTGTGTGTGGTGTTTGTGTGGTGTGCGAAGGTGGTGTAATCATGAGTTTATATATGTGAGTGTGTGAGTGTGTATGCATATAATGTGAGTGTGTACATGAGTGTCTGTAGTGTGTGAATGTGAGTATACGTGTATATGTGTAAGTATATGTGGAGTTTGGATGTGTGAGTATGTATGTGAATATACATGTGTATATGTGAGTGTATGGTGTGTGTATATGTGTGTATGTATATATATGTGAGTGTGTGTGTTGTGTGAGTGTGTATATGTGGATGTATGTGGTGTGTTAATGTGTAGATGTGAGTGTGTGTGATTGTATATGTGAGTGTGTCGTGTGAGTGTGTATATGTGAATGTGTGTGGTATGTGAATGTATGCAGTGTGTTAGTGTGTATGTGTATATGTATGTGTGGTGTGTGTGTATATGTGACTGTGTATATGTGAGTGTGTGTGGTATGTGGGTGTATGCAGTGTGTTAGTGTGTATGTGTATATGTGAGTATGTATATGTGAGTGTGTGTGGTGTGTGAGTGTGTATAAGTGAGTGTGTGTGGTGTGTGAGTGTGTATAAGTGAGTGTGTGTGGTGTGTGAGTGTGTATAAGTGAGTGTGTGTGGTGTGTGAGTGTGTATAAGTGAGTGTGTGTGGTGTGTGAGTGTGTATAAGTGAGTGTGTGTGGTGTGTGAGTGTGTATAAGTGAGTGTGTGTGGTGTGTGAGTGTGTATAAGTGAGTGTGTGTGGTGTGTGAGTGTGTATAAGTGAGTGTGTGTGGTGTGTGAGTGTGTATAAGTGAGTGTGTGTGGTGTGTGAGTGTGTATAAGTGAGTGTGTGTGGTGTGTGAGTGTGTATAAGTGAGTGTGTGTGGTGTGTGAGTGTGTATAAGTGAGTGTGTGTGGTGTGTGAGTGTGTATAAGTGAGTGTGTGTGGTGTGTGAGTGTGTATAAGTGAGTGTGTGTGGTGTGTGAGTGTGTATAAGTGAGTGTGTGTGGTGTGTGAGTGTGTATAAGTGAGTGTGTGTGGTGTGTGAGTGTGTATAAGTGAGTGTGTGTGGTGTGTGAGTGTGTATAAGTGAGTGTGTGTGGTGTGTGAGTGTGTATAAGTGAGTGTGTGTGGTGTGTGAGTGTGTATAAGTGAGTGTGTGTGGTGTGTGAGTGTGTATAAGTGAGTGTGTGTGGTGTGTGAGTGTGTATAAGTGAGTGTGTGTGGTGTGTGAGTGTGTATAAGTGAGTGTGTGTGGTGTGTGAGTGTGTATAAGTGAGTGTGTGTGGTGTGTGAGTGTGTATAAGTGAGTGTGTGTGGTGTGTGAGTGTGTATAAGTGAGTGTGTGTGGTGTGTGAGTGTGTATAAGTGAGTGTGTGTGGTGTGTGAGTGTGTATAAGTGAGTGTGTGTGGTGTGTGAGTGTGTATAAGTGAGTGTGTGTGGTGTGTGAGTGTGTATAAGTGAGTGTGTGTGGTGTGTGAGTGTGTATAAGTGAGTGTGTGTGGTGTGTGAGTGTGTATAAGTGAGTGTGTGTGGTGTGTGAGTGTGTATAAGTGAGTGTGTGTGGTGTGTGAGTGTGTATAAGTGAGTGTGTGTGGTGTGTGAGTGTGTGTGTGTGAGTGTGTGTGGTGTGTGAGTGTGTATATGTGAGTGTGTGGTGTGTGAGTGTGTATAAGTGAATATCTATATATGTGAGTGTGTATGTGAGAGTGTATGTGAGAGTGTATGTGTATATGTGAGTGTGTGTGGTGTTTGTGTGGTGTGCGAAGGTGGTGTAATCATGAGTTTATATATGTGAGTGTGTGAGTGTGTATGCATATAATGTGAGTGTATACATGAGTGTCTGTAGTGTGTGAATGTGAGTATACGTGTATATGTGTAAGTATATGTGGAGTTTGGATGTGTGAGTATGTATGTGAATATACATGTGTATATGTGAGTGTATGGTGTGTGTATATGTGTGTATGTATATATATGTGAGTGTGTGTGTTGTGTGAGTGTGTATATGTGGATGTATGTGGTGTGTTAATGTGTAGATGTGAGTGTGTGATTGTGTATATGTGAGTGTGTCGTGTGAGTGTGTATATGTGAATGTGTGTGGTATGTGAATGTATGCAGTGTGTTAGTGTGTATGTGTATATGTATGTGTGGTGTGTGTATATGTAAGCGTGTATATGTGAGTGTGTGTGGTATGTGAGTGTATGCAGTGTGTTAGTGTGTATGTGTATATGTATGTGTGGTGTGTGTGTATATGTGAGTGTGTGTATCTGGGAGGAGGGTGGGGGGCAGCTGTCTGTCTCGACTCTTCACTGTCCACCCTTCCGTGGCCATTTAACTGTGGGAGCTGCAGCTCTGTGTGGGGGTGGGGGGCGGGAGGTGCTACCCCGACCCGCCTGAACTCAGGGGAGGCCCGAATGTGTTCAGGAGCCACCTTCCTGCCGAGTCTGGCCCTGCGGTGTGTGCACCTGGGAGGAGAGCGGGTGTTGCTGTAGTTGCATGTCCTGTCCTCTGAGACGCTCTGCTGTGACTGCAGTTTTGAGAGGAGGGTTAAGAGGCCTTCGTCCTCTCACCTGTGGCAGAACTAGCCTCATGTGGCCCTGCTGCCACCAGGAGGGCGCACTCCGTCCTAAGGGGACGGCCTACATGCAAACAGGACCGCCCGCCGCCTGCCAGACATCCCAGGGGCGGCCGTAGTCTCCAGTAAGGAGTCCAGGCTCCTCAGCGCAGTCCCCGGGCCGAGTCTGGTCCTGCCCCCGCTCCAGCCTGCCTCCTGCCCC